GAATTTAATTCTGCATCGAATGGCGCCACTTTTATTCGCCGGACAAACTTTGCAAAAATTCTATCTGAATTATAAATAGACCTAAACGAAACGAACAAAGATATAGATAGCAAAATTTCCGAAGTTTGTCCGGTGAATAAAAGTGGCGCCATTCGATGCAGAATTAAATTCTGAGTCGAATGGTGTAGTTTTCATGAACGGGACATACTTAGTAAAAAAGTTTTTAGCTAACATATCGTTTGTTCGTGCTAGCTCCTTCGTGCTAGCTTCACACTGATTTCCGCTTCCATAGACTGTGTCCTACATCTTTCTTTATTTAGTTCGATTTGGAGATAATGTTCGATAGATATAAGAAAAAGATTTTGAAACGTATGTGTAGTATAGTGGTCACCGTAATTCATTAGATAAGATGCCACTTGAACACCTGATACTTCCTGATGAGATGCAATCATGTTATAGCATCGTAAAACTAGTTTACGCGACTTTTCAATGATGTTCTCAGATACAGTTTTAGTTTCACGTTGTTCAACAGATTTCACTCCTTCTTGAGCCAATGCAAACATATCATAAAAGGATAGACTTGATTTTGTTACATAGTCTGTAATGTAATAAACGAGTGCCTTGGCATCACTACCACTCCAAATGAATTTGATGTCCATATTAGACTGGCAAGCTGTTATGACCCATTCGTTAAAATTATTGATCCATGGATGTGAGCGGCGCATGACAATTTCGCCTGTGATTGGATCAATATTTGATGCGGCAACGAGTGCCCGTGGCATGCGCATCCGGCACTTTTTCGTAGCATCTGATTTTGCTTTGGAATATTTATAGCAAGTCGTTGAATGCTTATGAATGTTTACTGTCTCAACCAGTTTTTTGACGTATTCATGAAACGTTTCAACAAAATTAACAGAATCTGGATTTGGTATGGGTAAACTTGCAGGATTCGCATTAATTGTCTTTTGTATAGAATTATCTAACACATAGCAAAGTAATTGCGTCACGTGGAGGTGAGAGCAGTACTTACTAGTGGCCACCGCTGTAGTTTTCGTTGACTGATCTTTGGTTTTATCTGTAGAGAAATACATGCATAAAAAAGATGTGAACAATATATGGCGCTATATTTAATTCAATGATTGTCAATGTGATCCTTTCCTCCTGACAAGAGCTTTTTTACGTATTGGAACATACGTGTCGCATGTTGGAAAAAATCTTCTCTCATGGATATACGTATTATCTGTGTAATAGGTTTAGAGTTGTACAGAATATTACCTTGAAATAGATCTCGGTCTTCTTTGACTACATCCTCAATATAACTAAGTAATTTTGCACGAAATTCGGAATCCTGGATTTTCTCTTTCAGTTGCGCAGGCGTGAAATCGTGGCCGAGCCAGATTAGTGGATGTAAATGAAGAGATCCTCTTCCTTGGCTTTCTACGGTACCAAAGTATGCACTTGTAGGGCCAACTATACCACAAAGAACAAGAAACTTCAGGATATTTTTAATCAAAACATTGAAAAACTTAGCAGCAGCCACCGGATGGCCCGCAATTATATGTGCACGTTCGTAGGTTGTGCGCATATCTTCTACTAAGATATTATCAAGATTTAAATCAATTCCAGAGAAGTACAATGCCACCGGACTGTGAATATCAGCTGGATTGATTATGACAAAAAGACTCGGTAGACCTAGATAGAAACAGAGAGCATGGATTTTGGTGCGAAGAGCCGATCGCGAGTGACACGAGCCCATGACCCGTCCACCAACAGCTTTGATATGTTTCATTAACACATTAACTCGTGGATCATCAACTGACGAATTGGATTGTTTCGAAATATTGGCCAAAGCTGTTGCTACATCATTAGAAGTCAAGGTTTCAAGTTTGTGAGCCGATTGTTGAAAATATGGTCGTGTTGTCATGAGCTGAGCGTGAAAGCATACTGTGCGACTCTGTAAAATATTGAAAACGATAAAAATAAAAGAGTCATTTTTCTGAAATCGACGATTTTCTAACGACAAAAGATAACGTATATGTTCTAGCAAAGATATTTTATCAGGTCGACTAGAATCTTCCAGAGCACCACGCCCATATGGAAATAGCGTAGGAAACATCCCCATCAATAAGTCCGGATTTAAATATTCACTAGCTGGTTTATGACCTCGCGGAATCATGTATACAGTATCTTGGTCATTTTGTTCGATTGCGTCCGCCGTTGCAGTTTTGTCTTTTGTTTCCATTCTTATTTTCTCAAGCAGGCATTTAGTAACATCTTCGCATGAAACACTAACAGCATTTACGTCGACTACAGCGCTGCAAAATAGATCTTCGCTCGTTCAATTATCAATCATCTCATTTTCTCATACCTTGTGGTCAATGTCACAGTTACATTATCTCGTGATTTCTGTGCTTCTTGTAACGGATCTGGAACATAATTTGCTCTTTCTTGATCACTGTGCTCAATGTTGTTCGAGACTTCCATAGTTTTCCACAAGCATTCTGGAACATCGTCATCAGGTAGGTGGTCTATGCTTGATGAGTTGATCATTATGTTTCGGTAGAGTGGATTATTTTGGCGAAGCCATTGAAGCGCATTCAATATTTTCTTCTTCCGAACGGTAAGGATACTTTTCACTCGAATCTTTTCTGGAAGCTGGGTCCCAATAAAGATTATTTTCAATGATTCACACAATTGATCTAATGTGAGGGGCAAACTTTCAGCAATGTTGACAACATTTTGAGGGAAACTGATGCAATTTCCTCTGAGAGCAGATTGAGCCGTTTCCATCGAGTGAAATGATGACTGTAACTTAACAATACAGCTGTTATACCGATACAATGATATAAGTCTCTGTTCGGGAATGGTCAAGTTTTGCAATTCTTGAGGAACCTCTCCTATCCATACTTTATTGGCTGGTGAAAACTTCGGTATTTTTTCCTTTTTTAGATAAGACCAGCATTCTTGGCAAATATTGCAGCGAGTGGCCTGTCGTCGGTCATTCTTCGATCCGTGTTGTAATCCTCGCTCATAAAATACGACTCCATTTTCATAGATGGATGAAGGTGTGGTTAACGACGAATTGCCACATGTGTCTAAGAGTAGAAATAAGTACTATAGCATTAACTGAGAGCGCGAATGTCTAACCTGCATCTTTAGTCTTTGTGAAAGTCTTTGACGCAGTGTCAAAACCTTCTTGCACATAAGTTTTTGTGCATGCTTTGCGGACTAGCTGAGTCTTAAGAAGTATGTCGTGCAGCGCGTCATGTGCTTTGAGAACATGAACAGATGGAATTTTTTGTATAGGTACACAGTGCATATCTCGTTTGTAACATCGTATATTACATATACCACAAATCTCCTCCGCAAGAAAATCCATAGACATATGTTTGATAAAATTTTTCAAACACTTCATTTTCAAATCAGATGACACAGGTTTGAACCACTCATCTCTCGGCTCATTGTTTTTGGTTCTTCCAAATATCCGATGTTTCTGTACTAGATCTAGGATGATTGGATCATTATCGTCTTCATTAGATACCTCGTCGCATAACTGCTCTTTATCAAAACAAGCGGTGGGCAAAGCTTTCAATGTTGCTGTGGGTCATGCTGACAGTGTGTGATCACCATGCAGCAATGAATTGTCTGCAAGTTCCGCTAATACAATACTACGTCGCTTTGATGCCATTCTCTCACGAGCCGCTACTCGATCATTTTCGGCTTGTTCAGGAGTAGCTGCAGCTCTCCTTGAAGCCTTTCTTTCACGATCTACCTCTTGGCGCTTTCGAATTTGTTCCGGAGTGACTGCAAGTCTCTTCGATGTCGCGTATTCAATAACCGTGGAATCCTGATTCTGAATATCTTCTGGCACAGAAACGTTTCGTTCAAATATCGTCCTTTCGTGTGTTAGTGTTTCCGCATTCTCTGTTGCTTCACACCTTGCTGTAGATTCGTGTTGTACCATTCTGTTACTAACTGATAGTTGTTTTTGCTGAACTTCATCCGTAATCGACATGAATCGCTTCGGTGCTGTTCTTTCACGCGTTGTCACCCGTTGTCTTTCGATCTGTTCTGATGAGGAAGCAGCTCGCTTCAATGTCATTCTTTCTCGATCGATTTTTCGTTGTTTCTCCATTTTTTCTGTGGTATCCATAGATCTCATATACGCCATTCTTTCACGCGATGCATTTCGTTCTCTTTCGGTCTCCTCTGATGTAGAAGTTCCGTGTTTTAAAGCCATTCTGTTACGACTTGCTTCCAATTCCTTCTCAATTTGCTCTGGAGTAGCAACAGACCCCTTTGCCGCCATTCTGACACGAGCTGCTGCTCGTTGATTGTCAGGGTGTTGTTCAACAACTGATGTATGTCCTTGTTTACCACGAAGAAGGGAATGAGCAGATAGATTTTTGTTTAAATCAGAACCTGACGAGATAGATTTTGTAGATTCCTATAGATAATTATATGTTACTCATCGTATTGAATGATCAGGATTTGAAAAAGAAACATACAAGAAAATTATTATAGTTTGGAGATGATGCTGTCCAATCATGACTGCTGTTGGACGATAATAACAGCGGTACAAAATGATTGGGTGACCAATTACTTCCATTACTTTGCCGTGCTTCGACTTCATTTTGTGTGTGAGTCCAGAATATGTGAATTGTATTGAATGGCAATCCAACCGGATCGAAATCAAATGTAGTATTAATAGCATCTAATTCTGACCGATATTGTATTCTAGGATATATACTTCGGATTTTACATTTAAGAACATTACTCAATGCAGCAATCTCGTACAACTCAGAGAATGTGTAGTTTCTCGAAATACGACGAATTGCTTCATCTAAAGGCCCAATAATGTGCGCTAAACGTTCGCTATATTGTTGCCCATTTTGTATTAATTCTAGTAGAGTCCGTACTATTAGCATGATGAAAAAAATGCGTATGTCAGGTTTGCTGATAAAACAAATTTTACTTCGTAATTCGCTTGCAGTTATTGTTTTACTACTATCAAGACATGCAATGGAATGATACAAGCTACTGTCATCAGATTCTGTTTTAACTGGAAACAGATCACGAACATCTGGATCAGCTCTGAGAAGATATACATTTGCTTGACGATCAATCTTATGAACTGATGAGTCGAAATGTTCAAGAGGCTCAAATTGAAAAGGTGTTATAAGCCATTCAATCTAAAAGCATCGAAATACAACAAGTTTCTATGAAATAATAAACTTACGGTTCTTATCCTATCACAAAGTAGTTTTATTTGATTATAGTAGTTCGAATGGGCGACGATTTTTCCTGATATGGACAACAGATGAACAAATAGTTCAGAGCGGCATTTCATTTGGCATTGATTACAGCACGGTCGGACTGTTTGAATATCACAAAACAGACACTGGTTGTTCATAACAATCTAAAACTACGAATAAAAAACATAACATGTATGCAATTATTCACAACGCAATATCCTCTTCATATATACGACAGGTTTCTGTTAAATGAACTTATATTCGATGAAGCAAAGTTTGTATATGACATTTGCAGAGAAAATACAACGAATTGTACAAGTTTTTGTCTATTGGGAAAAGCGTCACAAAGACGTCATGTTAATATGGTATGTGATTGAAATTTAGAATCTTAAAAAATTGTAGTTAATTGGTTCTGAATAAGGAGATTCTTCATGTTGATAATGACGGTAAATCTGAAAATGAAAACTACGCACACGTATTTCTCTGGCTTGCTACAATTGTGACGCTTATATAACCCAAAGGATCTGAATTTTAATGACAATTATGCGCTCTTTGAAAACAGAATCTAGTTGATATTGTAACGGTGAAAGAAACTTAATTATATACAACAAATATTGGTTTAAAGACGTACTGAATCAGCTTGTTCCACAATGTTATTTTCGGATAACTCCTTTCAATTGCCACCAGCATAATTGTCTTTCATCATGAGAATAACACTCAAGATCATCAAATATCGATGTTAAACTCATATTAATTTTGTGCAAAGCAGCACGAGTCTTTTCACAATAGAAAATCGAGCTATCGTGCTGAAGCGATATATCGACAGTGATTCGGAATAGAGTGGATATTGATGTCAATAGATGAATCCATTTGTCACTATTTACAAAGTTAACGTCGTCCGCGAAACCATATAGTTTGAGTTTCATTAAACTGGGCATTGTCGATACTAACCGATTGATTTCTTCGAATGGCACTTCAAGTAGCGAAACGCGAAGTGAACGAAGAAACGGAAAAGTAAACGAATGAACTGAAATCCTACTACGTTGAAACAAACTTATACTAAGATATCGAACACATATGAAACCAGACTGCATATGTGACAAATCTCTGTATGTAATAGCTGAACATGACTTCAAAATCAGCTGTTCAATTTTACTTGGTGCCATTGATACAGTAGGAATCCCTATTGTTTCTTCTAGTTCCTCAGCATGAATTTCTAATCGCCGCAAAGAATTGAGAGATGAAATGCATGCCAAAATTTGGTGTAAGGGTTTAATATCAGGTATTGTTATCGATAGTTGTTCAAATTTTATGCTTATTTGTGAACATTTTGTCACAAGAGAAATGATCCATTCGGATTCTCCCTTGAGTTTGAGTGAGTGAAGAGAACAGCATTGTTTGACTATACCAAAACTGGCTCCATTGTTCATTGTGAGAGATATTACTTGATTTAAGGTAAGTCCTTTTAGCAGGTTTGTAATGTGACAATCGATCACGAGTCCTCGCAATTGATTCCGAAATTTTTCGTTAAACAAAACTTCATCAGATGTACCGGTGACATTTTTTAAAGTCGAAAATAATTCAATAGCTTCAAAGTATTGAAATATTTCTAACCAAACATCACAGCGCAGATGAGAAATGGTAGTTATGTTCCCTAGAACTATGCGTAAAGTTCGAAAGCTTACTTGAAAGATCATTTACTTTGAATCTGTAGTTTGTCCATAATTAATTGGGAGACAAACTATTCAGAGAAGTTGCGGGGTATTGTAGGAAAGTTGAGGAACTGCAAACACTACGAGTGAATTCAATATTAAAACGAAAGATATCTATGGAGAGCACAAGACTCAAATATCACTAATGGTACGATTTTATCTATTAAAATAACATTTATACTCTGAACTTACCATTGCTAGCGTATAAATCACGCTTTCTACACAAAATATGTAAAACAAACATTGAAAAATTCAAAAGACAATGGAAAAAGTTCGATAGAAACTTCTACACTGATGAAATTCGAAAAAATAACAAAACACGCTATTAAAAATTTGTTTCGCATATCTCATGAGGTGGTTCAGATAAGAACAATTGTATACATATTTAGTATACTGCTTGACGAAAAACATAATATGTAGAGTAAGGAGGGGTGTTTGCATACAAAAAATCAGTGAGTCTCATTAAAACAGTTCTAACTTTTTTACTATTAGTTATTTTGAAAAACTTTCTGAACA